TCTCTCTCTCTCTCTCTCTCTCTCTCTCTCTCTCTCTCTCTCTCTCTCTCTCTCTCTCTCTCTCTCTCTCTCTCTCTTTCGTATAAGCGCACTTTTTTTATATCGATCTAAAAAATTGGCGCGAATATTCAAATGATCGTTTCTTTATCTCTCAGGTCTTTTTTTTTGTATTCATCGTCGAAGTTTATCTCTACCTCATCATCTGTCTATCTTATACTTTTTCTTTCTCTTTCTCTTTCTTCTTTTCTCTCTCTCTCTCTCTCTCTCTCTCTCTCTCTCTCTCTCTCTCTCTTTCTCTCTCTCTCCATCTCTATCGTTTTTTCTTTAGCTCTAAAGACGCATTTAGCAGAGTTGCTTAAAACTCGTCTACAAAAATCTGTCGTAAACGCTTTCGATCTTTATAATCATATTATTTATGTGAGATTATTTTAATCGTTTCATACCGTTGGATCTTTACACATTTTTTATATATGTCAATACATCATTCGTATTAATCTCTTAGCCGCCACGATTTCTTTTAAATCTCCTTTCTAATTCATGATGTTACTTGTGTATATGAATAATATATATATATATATTTACATATACGTAATTATGTAAATATATGCGACATGCTTTTTATAGCTTATCGTCTGCTTCTTCTCACACACGAAAAATCATTGACGAATGTCATAATATAATGCTAAACTCTTTACGATATTTGAATACAATAATTCAATGAATACACATCAAACTCTCGACGAATATATCATCATCATCATTCCTCATTTTCTTTTTGTAATAATGTGTAACGATAGAAAAAATGCATTACTACACCATTATATTCCTTCTTTCGTTCCTACTCATACTTTCTTTCTTTCTTTCTTTCTTTCTTTCTTTTCTTCTTTCTTTCTAACCACCAAATCTAAGAATCTGCGTGTTCTCTTTTTCTTTCTATCTACCTATCTTACTTTTTTCATTCGAAGAACACTTATTTTTTAATGAAGAAAAAAATGAAGGAAAAAAATTACATATATATACACGTATATATATGTATATCGTGCCATGATTCTCGTTTATATCAATAAAGTTATTCGAGAAAAATCTGTACAAACAACAAATGTTCAATAATGCTGCAAGAAATGATAAACAACCATATCTCTCTCTCTCTCTCTCTCTCTCTCTTTTTTTTTCTTTTAGATACTATAGCTTGCGAACATGCTAAATTCTAGATATTAGTTTTTTTCATATTCTTTCTTTCTTTCCTTCCTTCTTTCTTTCTTTCTTTCTTTCTTTCTTATACTTGAAGAAAGATATAATCGTAACGTAACTCTCGAAATGCGTAAAATACGATGACGTAGTAAAACGGATGATGTAGAACGAGTCCTAGTCGATGTTACGGTAAATTATGGTGTCGGGGCATGTGAAAATTTCAGCTTATTTGGTGGTGGTGATGGTGATGGTGGTTGTTGATTGTTGGCGGTGGTGGTGGTGGTGGTTGTGGTGATTTTTGGGAGGCGGGAGAAGAGAGTTTTGAATATCGTGCGCTTATAAAACCTGCGTGGGTTGTTGCGCCGGTGTGGAAACAGTACCAGCAGCGGATGCTGGAGGTCCTATAGGTCCAAGATCTCCACCGTTATTAGAGGCACCAGCTGGCGTCGATACACCAATCGCGGATGCTGTCTTCATGAAGAATTTCTCTAATTTAACGATTATATGTTTGCCATACGTATACTTGCGGAGACTTCCTAGGTGTGGGCGAATCTTGTGCATCAATACTTTACGTTGCGCAGGTTCGGCTACGTCGATCATCTTCTGTACCACGTAATTTGCGTATTGATCTTTCATCATGACGTTAAGCGCACTAATATTGCAGAACAAACAAAAATAAATTACGATCAACTGTTACACCTATTATATATTATTAATACATGTCGCGAGCTCCCAGTGAAGATTTAAGGGGCACATCTAGTGTGAAATTTTGAAAAAATTGATTTTTTTTGTGTGCATATTTTGATAATCTATATCTTTAAAAATAACATACTGAAATTTCAAATAAATATTTCAAATAGTTTTAGAGTTATAGCATTGTAAAGAGTAGTCCCGCTCAGGGATTAGAAAGCAATCGTTTTATCTTTGAACGCGTTTTTCTCAAAACTACATTTTTCAAATTGGCTGCAGTTGTAACTCAAAGAAGAATCATTCGATCGCTTTGATTTTTTCCTGCTTATTTCGTATATGTTTCTCTGTACAATGACCTAAAAGTTTTTCGATTGTATAAAAAAATGTAATTTTGGCGGGCCAAAAATCATCAAAGTTTTGAGCAAAATTCGATTAAAAAAAAAAAACAAAAGAAAGTCTGCCATTTTTTTAAATTTCAATTTTTTTTCATAATTTTAGGTCATTGTATAGGCAATACTTTCTAGATTAACAGTATTTTTTTTTTTTTATTTCATCCACGGTGAAGGTCGGAATCACTGCAGCCGTTTAAGCCCTTTTTTTTAGTGATTTTAGAGATAGCGAATAACTCGCTGAAAATTACCTTTTTTCATTTGAAAATTTTAGTGAATATTCGTTAATTATGTATAAATATATCCTCTAAATTTTAAAATATTTAATGCAGTAGTTTTCTTTCAAAAAATTCCCAAAAAATCACCTTTTTTTAGGCGGTCACATTAGGTGTGTGCCCCTTAATAACTTTATGGAGGAGGAGACTGCGAATGTTCTCAATCTTTGTATTTTACATATTGTTTTATTTTGTTATTTTGGATAAAAAAAAATTTTTTTTTTCTTTTTAATTATTACTATTTATCGGAAATGTAAGTAAAAAAGAAAATGGCTCGCGTCGATGTATTTGTTAATTTAATATATAAAATAGAAAAGTAAAGATTCATTAATGAACTTACTTGTCATTGAAGCCACATACTTCCTCTATGAGTACGGCGCGTTCTTGTCTCGTAGCATGGGTAACACATTTTTCAACCACATTGCTTGCAAATTTGTGTTGAGATAGTGCGAGTACTTTACCCCTGACGCTGCTAATCAATTGTGTTTTATCTTCTGGCTTGCCGTGTTCTAAAGATATAGAAAAATATAATTGATCAAATAATAATTTAATTGCGTATTCAAAATTATGAATAGAAATTAGAGATTAGAAGGTGGTTGTGGATCGATTATTTTTCACTTACCTAATACGTGTTGGATGACGTAATTACCATACTGATCTTGTATAAGCTGATCTGTAGCAGCATGCAATTCTTGTAAAATCCCTTGCGTTTGTTCCGCAGTGCAGTGTTCCAATATACGTTGAATTACTCTACATCCGTATGGATGAGTACTCAGAGAATAAACTTGTCCGGCGAATGCACCGATAACGAACTGCAATGCTCGTGGTTCAACGCATTCGATACATTTTTGAACAACGTGATTTCCATTTTGATCTTTCACGCATTTCAATACGTGACCATCCAATTCTCGAACGATTTCTTGTTGCTGTTCTGGCCCAATAGATTCTAAAGCTTTTTGTATTACTCTGCAACCATACATCTGTAGTGCTAATGGTAACACATGGCCACGAACCTGTATTTTGTTAATAATACATATATATATATATATTTTCAATAAAAAAAATAGAAAACGAATAAACATTAATTAAAATATAATAATTATACCTTTTGAGCTAGAGTAGATTTCTGTTCAGGCGTGCCAAATTCAAAGAACTTTTGTATAACATAATTTCCAAAAACGTCTGTCATAAGAGAATAAGCTGATGCAAGTATCTCTTGAAATACAAGATGTTTTTCGTTAGCAGAAGCACGTTCTAATTTTTGTTGAATGAAACGTGAACCATGTTGATCTTGACTGAATTCAACGATATGATTAACTAAATCACGTAACTGAAGACTCGGGAATCTGCAAGAAGAAGAAGATGATTCAGCTTGGAATTTAGTATCTTTCACTAGTTTCATTAAAAAAAGAAGAAGAAAAAGAATGATAATAACCGATTATTTCTGAAATCCTCCAAAAGACGAGATCGACCACTAGTATTTTTGTCACCAATATTCGTAGTTCCAGTACGGCCAGTTTTACCGACTAAATTGGGGAAAAGTGAACTGCTCGAGCCAAAGACACCATTAGCTGTCAATGCTGGTACAGTGCTTGCACGAAATTTGGCTTCAGCACCTGGAGCAGCTGATACTCGATTCGCACCTCCTACAAGTCCGCCCAAAGTTCCTCCCAAAATTGGTGGTGGAGTCACGGATAATCCCAGGGGACTCGGAGAAGCTGTTACTGTACCTAAACAAATTATTTGCAAATTGTATAGAACACAGTTATTGTTCGTTGCATATAAAATCTAATATTGTCGTAATTCTATTCCAATAATCTGCATATCTGAAGAACACGTAATTGCACATAATTGCATCCTTCAAGAAAAAATTCAAGATAACCTATAAGTATTTTATCTTTGTTAACCGAGTCTCCCCTTATGTACACACACAAATGTAAATTTATAAAATAAAAATAATTACCAAGTGCTCCATAACTTTGTGGCCATTTCGCTCGACTGTATTCCAAACTTGGACTGAATGCCGAAGTATTTCTGTCAAAAGAATCCCTTCTCCCTGTCGAAGATGCTCCCAGTCCTAAACCTGCACAGACAATGTTCACTTATGAAGAAAGCAAAACGAATTGTAACGACAACAATGCCCTATATAAAAGGATGAGAAAAAGTGTTGTGTGAATCGTTATAACTATCTTTATAAAATAATTAACGAGAAACGATCATATGTTCAATAAAAAAAAGGAAGACGAAAAAAAAATAAAATAAAATATTTTATAACAAAACAAGATGAAACATTATAAAGGACGATAAATTAAAAAGCATGCGGAAGAACACGTTTAGTAAATTATGTACATAAATAAGACAATTGGGTATAACATAGTTACAGTTGACAAGAATTAATTATAATAATAATAATAATAATAATAAGACTGAGAAGAAAAAGCCAAACACGATGAAATTCGTCGTGTACCTGTAGTTTGAAGTTGGGCAGGTGAGCCCAATGCTCCAAGAGGAGAACCTCCATATCCCAAAGCCGCTAGACCTGCGGCAAGTCCTGATCCTTGTTGTTGTGCCTGTTGTACGGCAACTGCCTGAGCTTGTGCAACGACTGCTGCTGCACTGCACGCTGCCAGACCTGCACCAAAAGCCCCCAACCCACACAACGCTCTTAATTATCAATGAGATTTTGGCCTTTGTTACAAACCATATACCATCTAAAAGAAGCCTAATCCGATATACATCCCTACACACCATGCACATGTACGACGCCGATCTTCTTTGTTTTACGATTATGATGATTTACATATAAATACATAAATATATATATATATATAGAGATAAATAATGTAGGATTCGTGAACAAATTGTGTCGTTAGGTTGTGACTGGATTCGAACTCTGGTTCCCTCTGCTTTACGGATGACTGCTTCAACCATTGAACTATCCAAGATCCTTCGATCAACTTTCTCACGAATGTTTACTTTATTTGGAAAGGAGACATGCTCGATTCCATAATATTAAAAAATAATAATAATATAATATTTTTTTATTATATATTATATCATAATATTTTTATAATTTATATATATATATATATTACTTGGTTGTACTTTAGTAACAAAATTGTTAAAAAAACGCACAAACATGATTAATATACAAAATGCAATATGATCGATGGATATAAGACGTTAACATAGTTACAATCAAAATTTACAAATATAACTTCAGAACCATTGAAAAACTTTACAAAATATACACATGCACAATTGACATAAAATCATAATAGAAATAGTAAACTAGACAAATCGATCGTTTTCAGATTTGAGTTTGAATGAAGTAAATTGGTTGGGAAGGTTTATTATCGTTAGAAAATATTACCTAAACATTCACCAGGCGTAGCATTGCTGTGGGATGTCGGAGTTGCCTGTGAATAAAGACTCGGTGGTGGTGGAGCAGGTGGTCCAGGAGGTGGCTGTGAAGGAGCTCTGTTCACCAGAACGGGTGCTGGACTGACCAATCTCATTGGAGTTGCCGCGGAACTAAGGCCGCGTACGCCGCCCATGACTATGGATCCATTTTGATCGTAGTAAGCTGGTATAACTTGGTATTGGCCTTGAACCTATAAAAAGAACACGCATACGTAAGTATTATTATGTTATCAAAAAATTGAATGACTAGTACGTTTATGCTTTACAAAACATTATTATATCATTCTTATCTATGGAAAAAAAATATATATAATAAAAAGAAAGGAAAATAGAAAAAACAAGTTTTACCGTTTGTGCCAAATTATTAGCGGTGTCCTGAGCCGCAGCTGCAGCAGCCGCTGCCGAGGAAGGTGTAAGCGGTCGTCTCGGTGGAGGTGGGGCTGCAGCTTGCGGTGGTGCTTGCGGTAGTAGACCAGCGGGATAAACCCACGGACCAACTCCATAATACTGTGGTACCACTGGTGGCGGTGCACCAGCTATCAATGCTCCTACATATGGTTCTTGTCCGCTGATAACGGTATACGGTGCCGTAGGAAAGTTTTGTTGTTGCTGTTGTTGTTGTTGCTGTTGTTGTTGGGCCTGGGATGCAGCCAAATATTGTTGCTGTTGTTGTTGTTGCTGTTGTTGCTGGAGCAACTGTAATTGTTGAGGCGTTGCACCTTGCGGCTGACTGCGAAACAATTGCTGCCAACAAAAAAAAAGCAAAAGGAGGAAAATAAAAACCCATTCTCTAAAATCATTCATTCGCAAACTTCTCTCGATTCCGCCCCAATAAATAAATAAATTAATTAAAAAAAAAAACAACGTAACTGTATTCGTAATGAAAAGATTTACGACGGGACGTAAGCGAAGAAGAAAATTGATCCTAAAATCGTTCTCCTCGCGTTCCTGTTTTGTGTTGTTCCTTTTTTTCTTTTTTTTTCCTTTTCGTTTTGTTTTCTTATTGAGAGGATAAACGCTAATGGGACGAAACGACGGAAGAAGATACGGGTAAAATTGAATCTGAAGAATGACGAAGAATATCGAAGTTTGCCGGAGCGGACGAACGGTGGGTAAAACGTAAGAGAGGCACGTAGAACAAATCGGAGACGGTGAAGTTGGTTCGTTCGTTCGTTCGTTCTCTTGGCAGCTTAGGTCGACGACCCCCTGCGGACGTTCACCGACAACGAGGAGCGTTCGCCTTCTACAACACTGCTATATACCAACGTTGTACCGGTTGTTGCTCCAGACTTTAATTGACCAACAAACGCGGCCACCGATTTACCGTGGCGCCTACCTAGACTAGACTTTAACTGTTAGAGAAAACTCCTATAATATACCTGGCCCTTTTCCAATCTTCTTTCTGTCATCGTATCATCAAACTTTCTTTTATTCGTTTTTTTGTAACGGTTACATAATGAATATAACCACCAACCACCACCATCACCCTCCTCCCAGGGTCAGATCATCTTTCGATCGATCAACTTTAATCTAATTTTTTTAATTCATAAAAAAAATATATATATAAGTATTTGATACGGTATATATGGCGTTACCATGAAAGATCGAAAATTGGATAATGTCAAGATTCACGCGGTGATTGTTAACACATACCAAATACGTATTATTTCTACGAAAGACCGAATATTTGGTTTTATTTACACACATCAAGTGTGATCATGCGAATCTTGATACATTATCCAATTTCGGTCTTTCACGGTAGCACATATGTATATATACTCTTATCTTGCATATTATGTAATAAAATTTTACATAGATTGAGATTGAGATTGAGATATACATATATATATATACATAATATATAAATATGTTGTTATTATTATATATTATGGTGGTTGGAAGCATCCGAGCGACACGATCCAGACCTCCGAAGGCAGCGATGCGTTTCGGGTATTAACCTCTTCCGGAAGCAGCTCGCGCTTTAAAACCAAGGCCACGGTTACACTCGGCGAATATTCTAACGCGCAAACCGCGAAGATCTTTCTCTCGAGATCTCTCTTTCCGATCTTCGTTAACAACAACGTTCTCGCCAACGAGAACGCACCCTCCCCCACCCCCTCACCCCTTCCTCTTTTTCCTCTTACCGGCCTCCGCCTCCGCCCCCTGCTCCACCACCACCCCTCTCCCCTCATGATGGACGTTAATTAGACGAAACAAATTTATCTTCGAAGGCACAGGTTGAACGTACTCTTTTCTCTCGTTTTATGAACGAGACCAAAGAAAAATAAAAAAAATAAAAAATGAAATATATATTTATATTTTTATATGTGTGTGAACCACACACCGCGTTCGTTTGTTAAGTCTCGATTTAACTCGACAAAATACAAGAATAGAACATATTTCTTTTTTATTTTTTTTTGTATACTTTATTGCGTATTCATTATTCATAAATCATAAAAATTGTCCTCGTTTATAGTGTTGTTGTTATTGTTGTCTTGTTTATTAACTCCTCCTTTATGGAGGCCAGATGGCCCGTATAACTTTTTAGTAACACATCAATAAAATAATATCATATTTATATTTCTTTACCCGAATAATATGGCACACCACGTTTATTATTATATAACATTTCATCATTTTTATTTTATTATAATTCTAGCTCGATATAAGGGGAATAAATTTGGTATTATCTTTTTGAAAAAAAAAAAAAAAAAAAAAAAACAAAATTGTATTTAAAAGCAAATTAATATGAATTGTTTTTTAATAGAAAATATATTTACACCGCGCGTGTAAACGATATTAAAGAGATTATAATTAGAAAATAAAATAATGTGTAATTATAACGACGAAGTGTGTTTTGACGATATAAAATGAAGGAAACATTGTTATTATCATTGTTGTTATTGTTGTTGTTCTTCGAGTAAGATTAATCGGTTTGATTTGAATTACTTCTTTTTTTTTTTCTTGTCTGCGAACGGTTCTCATGTATATGAGAATGATTCGTCGCCATTATGGAGTTCTGTTAAAGGCGAACAAGGTCGACAGGCTATTCGGTCATTGGCGTAATTCTACTTGATGGAAGGAGGGTGGGGTAGGGTGGGGTGGGGTTAGGCACGAGAAGTCATTATTAAATCGTATTGATGGGTCGAACTACTGCTGTTGCTACTCCCTCCTATGGCGTCATGGTTTAGCAGAGATCTCAATAGAAATATATCGTGACGATTGGGTTTGAAAAGAGTTCGGTGAAGTGAGCTTTGAAAAAGGTCGAAGGGTGGTAGGTGTTCTTGCGAGCAAAGTGAGAGAGAGAGAGAGAGAGAGAGAGAGAGAGAGAGAGAGAGAGAGAGAGAGAGANGAGAGAGAGAGAGAGAGAGAGAGAGAGAGAGAGAGAGAGAGAGAAAGAAAAGTTTAGGGGGAAGATATAAAAAAGAAAAAAGGGGTCTCGATTTCGAATGGGTGAGAAAACAATGTCGATGGAATATAGTTTTATAGGTGAGAATGGTGGGCTCAGTTACGTGTCCCTAAAAGCAAGCAAGCAAACGAGGAGGAGCATGCATGAGTCATAGCATCGAATACATAAGGTTTCAAACACTACCACAAACCACCACTACCATCACACCACCACCACTAGTTATCGTTACGGTGTGAACGTTTCAAAATTCTTCTTTTCTCTCTACGATGCATACACAAAATAGTTTTAATTTTATTTAAAACAAAAAAAATTGTAGAAATGTAGATAAATATAGTTATCTGTATTTAAAGTAAATAGTAATAATAATTGTATATTTAATAATACTTCAAATCAAATACAAAAATATTTCAAATATTTATATACATACTGTATGTATATAAGAATAATTGTAATTATTAAATGCAGTTATAAAGAAGATGATAAAATAAAGGGCACCGGGGTTGGATGTTAATTGTCGCGAAACAACAAGAACAAAAATAGCTGGGAAATTGTATTTATAAAATTAGACAATTCCAGAGATGATTTAAAAATGTTCATTCTTGCACAGTCTATCTCGTGTCTAATTATCATCTGTTAATAGGTTCAGCAAAGAGTATAATATATTTTTCTGAATATACAACACAATACTTCAGACACATGATAACTAAAAATAATAATTCTACTATTAAAAACGATGTGATGTTCGCAACGATAAAAAAAAAAATTAAAAATTAAAAAGAACCCCCCTCCCATCCCCAAAAAATAATAAACTAAAAGGTCGCGTACCTAACAAGTTTTTTCTCATAAATGCTGACCGTATGCGACATGTTTAGGGACCCCCCTATTACCAGACGTTCCCATGGATGCCGCATATATCCGGCGCTCAAAATGAAAGGGTTAAAACACCTTCAATTTTAAATATGAACGAATTTGTTTATATTTATCATAGAAAACACGAAATGATTTTCTTAATAAACCTAAGAGAAACCTAACAATATTATATATAATTAATAATAATAATAATAAATTATAATTATAATTCCTTATATATATATTTATAATAATCTTTTGGAATATTTGTTTGAAGCGAAAAAAAAAAATAATTAATAGTCTATATTTGAAATAGAATTATATTGTAATTTAAAATGATATATATACACACAAATATTGATTTTTCTTTTAGACGGATAGAAGGAAGACTGGAAAGCGTTAGTCGTAGTCTCATTTAGCACAGTTTATTGGCAACCATTATGTACTAGGATAGACTTCGAGAGAGTAGAAGAAGAAGAAGAAGAAGAAGAAGTGCGTGTAAACGCTCGTGGTGAATCCTAATAATAATAAAGTCGGCCGTCAATTTAAAATGCATATACATACGTATCTACGTAATACGACACAACTACGACGACGTATGTATGGCGAAGGAGGTAAAGAGAAAAGTCAAGTGGAACTTCGTCGAGAATGAGGAAGAAAGATAGAAAAAGAAGAAAAAAAAAAAAAGAAAAAGAAAAAGGAAGGAAAGAAAAAAAAAAAGAGAAAGATACGTTAAACACACGTTACGTGTGTACACGTGAGCTACTAAAAATCCGACACGAAAACGGGTTTGTTAGGGTAGAGAGTTCAATGAACTTATCGGAACACGCTCGTTTGACTTTCAAAACGATGAAGGCCCTCGAGCAATTTTTTTTTTGTATCCTTCCATTTATATGCAACAAGATTGGTTCGAATCTGTAACACGTTCTCTCTTATAGTCCCCTCTTAAAATCGACATTTCATCAAAATAATTATAGAAAATAATTGTTGATATATAAAAATATATAACAAAATGGGAGATAGTATAGGTAACATTAGTTGTAATAGTAATTAATTGTAATATAATAAAATGATATTTGTTGCAATAATAATTAGTGATAGTAGTATAATATTTAGTAACAATAATAGTATTTTTAATACTAGTATTAATAGTTAAAATTGCAATAATATTAATAGCAGTTAGTTGAAGTATTAATATTAATAATAATTAATAATAATAATAATATTTAGTAAATGTAATAGTATTAATCCTACTTTATAATATTAATAATAATTTGTAGTATAAGCAGAAGCACTAGCAACAGAAATAGTAATTAGTAATAGTAATTCGTGATAGTTGTTAGAAACGTTGAAAAGAAAAAAAAAACAAAAAATCAGCTTGGACGTTCTCTTGATGAGAGATGATGGTAGTAGTAGTAGTAGTAGTAATAGTAATAGTATTAGTAGGAGAGAATACAGCAATGAGAGATACTTCGAAGCAGGAAGA